TCGGTTATGGAAAAAGAAATAGTCATCATCATCACCATTACAGCATTTCATAAGTCGACTGCTGAACATAGGCCTCCCCCAAGGAATGCCACAAAGCACGGTCCTGAGCCACCTGCATCCATCGACTTCCTGTATGTCTTAACAGGGTCGCCCTACACTTCGCCTACAGGTACGAGGCTGCCACTCAAGAACCTTTCATCCCCATCGGATGTCGGTTCTTCGAACTATATGACCGGCCCACTGCCACTTCAGCTTACTAATCCGTTGGGCTATGTCTGTTACTCTGGTTCTACTGCGGATATACTCATTTCTAAGTGTAACACGCAGAGAAACCCCGAGCATAGCCCTCTCCATAGCTCGCTGAGCGACCTTGAGCTTCCTCATACGGCCAGCAGTGAAGGACCACGTCTCAGATCCGTCAGTCATCACTAGCCACACGCACTGGTTGTACAAATTCGTTTTAAGGTTTTGAGGTATGTCTGACGAGAAGATGTGTCGTAGTTTCCCGAACGCTGCCCAGCTGAGTTGAATCCGTCGATTGACCTCTCGGTTCGACCGACTTGGACTTACCTAGTCGGACTATTTGTCCCAGGTAAACATACTCATCAACAACTTCGAGCTTAGTGCTCCCAACAACTACCGGCATAGGTGTGACATGGACATTAAACATGATCTTTGTTTTGTCCATGTTTATCCTAAGACCTATTTGTTGGGAAACGCTATTGAGGTCATTGAGCATAGTGCTTAGGCCCTCCAGTGATTCTGCCATTAGGACTATAGCAAGTTGAAAGTGAGTGATGTACTCGCCATTGATGTTGATACCGTATCCTTTCCAGTCCAGAAGCTTGAAAACGTCTTCCAATGCAGCGGTGAAGAGTTTCGGGGATATGACGTCACCCTGTCTTACACCTCTCTGCAATTGGATAGGTTTCGTACTCTGATTCTGTACTCCGATAGCCATCGTAGCTCTACTGTACAAACACTTCAGCACTTCGATATACCGACAGTCAACTTGGCACCGCTGAAGGGACTGCAGCACCGCCCAAATTTCGACGGAATCAAAGGCTTTCTCATAGTCCACATACGCCAAATATAGTGGCAAATTGTACTCTTCGGACTTCTGTATAATTTTCCGAAGGGTATGTATGTGGTGAATGGTGCTAAAGCCCTTTCGGAAACCGACTTGTTCGGGAGGCTGGATGTCGTCAATTATGCGCGCGAGACGATTCGTGATGACTCTCGAAAACAGCACGTAGACGCGGCTCAGAAGGGAAATCGGTCTGTAGTTCTTCAAGAAAGCGTTGTCGCCTTTCTTGAAGAACAAGACCACCGCACTACTGCTCCACGCCTCCGGTGTAATGCCACCATGGAGGAGGGAGCTAAAGAGCTTCTGAAGGACTTCAAGTACCGATCTTCAGAAGCTCCGCTGTAATTCCATCCTCGCCTGGGGCCTTACCGTTTTTAAGGTGCTGGAGAGCCATTCTAATCTCGCTCAGACTAACGTCCGGGATATCTTCGGAATAGTGTCGGATGGGACCCGCTCTTGGATCGTTACTCACACTTGCGTGTGGCGCCAACGATGGTGTGTACAGCTGCTTATAGAACCTCTTAATTTCACTCAAAATCTCAGCTGCCCCGGAAACGATGCTGCTACATCCGGTCTTCAGCTTTGACAGTTGGTTTTTTCTGGCAGACAGAGCTCTGGCAAAGACTTTGGAGCCTTGGTTTCGCTCGATCGCTTCTTCAATAGAAGCTGTATTGAAGTTGCTTAAGTCCCGCTGCATTCATTTGGAGATCTGTCTGTTCAGTTTCCTGTATGCAGGCCAAATCTATTGAAGAATGTAGCTTCATCTCCCGTTTAACAGCCATGAAATTGAGAGTGTGATCGGAGAATTTTTGTGTTCGTCCGCGGCGGGTCTGGTAGAACTTAGCTCCGACCGCATGGACTGTTTCCACGAGCTTGTCATTCATATCGTCCACTTTATTGCAGTCTTATAGGCACTGAAAACGGTTTTGTAACTCGAGTTGAAAGGTTTCGGGACTTTGGAACAGAGCACGAGGTGGACGGAGCGTTGACTTCATTAGACGAGACCTCTCCAACTTAACATTTAGGTTCAGTGTGCCTCTAACCATTCGTTGATCGCTACCAGTTTTCACCCTCGCGATCACAGAGACATCACTGAACAGTTATCGTCTGGTCGTCATAATGAAGTCAATCTCATTTTTTGTGGAACCGTCGGGGCTCGACCAGGTCCACTTCCTGTGGGGCCGCTTCTGGAAGAAAGAGTTCATCATAAAGAGTCCCTCTTTCTCCATGAAGTCGGCCAGCTTCTGGCCCCTTGGGTTCCGTTGCCCTATTCCAAATTTCCATACTTTCAGCTCACCATTCTCCCTTGTGCCTAGTTTTGCATTGAAGTCTCCCATTAACACCGTATATTGGGTTTTGGAGGAATGCATGGCTCTAGAGATATCCTCATACATTTCCTCCACCTCCTCATCGTGGTGTGCCGAGGTTGGTGCGTAAACCTGTATGACCTTCAGCGAATACCGTTTGGTGATTCTGAGTATAAGGTACACAACCCTCGTCGACGCACTCTAAATCTTTACAACGTTGTTAACGAGAGACTTGTGGACGATTAATCCGACACCTCCTTGGGACAGATGGTCACCCTCCCGGTGATAGAGCAAGTTGTCGGATTCGAGAATTACCGTGTCGTCCCCCTCTCTTCGGACTTCGGATAATCCTATAATATGCCAGCGTAACTTGTCTATCTCTTCTTCCAGCTCCACAACCTTCTCGTCAGTCCTCAGGTTACGTGCGTTATAAGTTGCCAGGTGCAGTCGTCGTAGGTGGCAACCGAACCTTCACCGGAGATTCTTAGCACCCCCTGCCCCGCCGTTACCATTGTCGCCACCGTAGCCAGGAATAACGGGGCCGCCGGGGACTGGGGGCCGTTTATTATTGTCGTTGCTCATGGAGGGTATATTGCCATAGTTGCCACGCTTGGCGAGCGGGTTGGCAACCGCAGTTTTTTTTTATTATAATTTTTGCTGTTATCAGGAAGATGCTGCTGCCCATTTTCTGCCTGTTTCCCTTTGTCGCCTTTTACGACAACCACTGGAAGATATGGGGTAGTGGATATTCTTAACCGCCACAACCTCTATATTTGTTTTGAACTTCTTTTTTACTAGAAAGCCAACTCCACGTTGCCCAGTACTCTCCCCTGTGTAGCAGAAGATATGTTCAGGGTCTTCTATCATTTCTATGCGTTCGTCTTGTTCTTGAATTTTTTTTATCTATGAAGATATAATGACTTTCTAAATTTGAGAATTTTTCATCTATGTTATCGTTGATTGTGTTAGTGATGCTTTCTTTCATATGCTTTAGTTCTTTTTATGTAATTTAATTTCATCTTTAATTTTTTTAGCATTATAGTTAGCTCTTCCATTGTTTATATGTAAAAATATGTAAAACGCCCTCTATTGATGCGATTAATGAGGTCACACAGGTTTGCTGATAGTTACTTTTGATAATCGTATTTTGGCACAAGATATCGCTCTTTTCTGCAGTATTTACTTACTAGCAGTTAAGGAAAATTTTTCGTCCCTTCCAGATAGATGGCTGTCTTTTTTTAAATATAATATTAAACGTGTACTTTGTGGTATTTTGAGGTAATTATTTATTAATAATATTTAAAATTCACTTTAGATAGGTATATTATGTAGTGCAACTTCTTTTTAACTTTTTGTTCTTAATATAACTTTACTTCACTTTTTGAGTTTTGATTCACTTTGACTGAGTATGTTTACTCAGTCAAAGTGAATCAAAACTCAGAATAACAGAATCGTTACATATATTGTTTTCGAAATGTTCGCAAATTTATGCACTTTCTCACTAGGTTTTTATATTCACTATATTTTGTTTCTTATACTTTTACATTTAAATCACTGCTTATTATATAATAAAATTCACTATTTTTACTTTTTAATTGCTTTTATTTCGGACCTAATGTTAACTGTGCGCTACCGCGCCCCCTCCTTCGTGCTAAAAAGATACTTCAAATATAGCTGCAATATGGCTCTACCACGTATAAAATATATGTAAATATTTTTGAAAGACATAATATTTACAAAAATACAGTATTTTTTTATTTTAATATAATTTTATGTAATGTATATACTATGAAGGAATATCAAAAAGTCTTCAAATCTACTGGCTTCCTAAAAAACAAAACAATAGCGAATGAACCCGGGTACGAGTTGAAAATACAGAAAGACGTACGAAGATGGTGCCAACTTAGACGGACTAATAAAATTCTAACCACCCATTGAATAGGATGTTGCAAAATAACACTGTAACACTTAAGCCAATTATAAATAACTGTTCTCACGAATAATTAAGCTGAAGTGGCAATGATTCGGCCATATACCTTGAAGAACCAATTACCGATGGGGAAGAAACGTACTTGTACATATTAATTGAGTCATCTTAGGGGAGACTTATGCTACCACAAGCTGATAATGATGTTTATAATGATAGTCAGCGTTTAATTGACAGTAACCAATAATAATGTTGCGCGCCACTACTAATGTCTTGTACATGGCAACACTTGTTACCACCAGCGCTCTCTAGTGTCGAGTAGCAGAACTAGGAGAGTCAAGATCCTTCTAGAAATTTTGGGACCGATATATACTCGAATATTCTAGATGTCGCTACAGTAGAAGTTTCTGGAAACTATCTGAGGCCCTATATAAGGCCGGTATTGATCACGACCGAGGCAGTATCGAATTGGCGATACAAGAGAATACTTCGAAGCGAAACAACTGCGAACTTAAGTGATCAGTAGTACAATTGTGTTTTATTATTAGTGTGGTTTTAGATTGTAATTATTGTTGTGTAATTAAAGTGTTAATTTTGGTAATTCAATCGGAATTTTTTAATTGTCTTGCACCCCAAGCTCGTAACAATAATAATTATTTTTTTAGCTATCGTTACTCACCTAACTCCTCCACGCTTAGTATCATAGTTCAGCAATCTAGTTCCGTGCTTCCAGTTCACCTGCCGCGATGACTGAGGCACCTCGCTCACAACGCAACGTAGCTCTATAATCGAACCTTCTTTGTAGAACTTGTCTTGAAGGGGTTTTCCACGTTCATCTACTATTTCTACTTTTGGTACTGTAACAAAGAATTTTTGGTCATGTTATTTTACTCTATTGTTATTCATATACAATAAGTTTTTATAGGGTGGACTTTATGGCTGTAGGCATTCTCTGCCAGTGAAATCAGAAAGAATTAAAACACATGGGATGGCTCCGTGGTGCAGTGGCTTTGAGTTACGCCATTGAGAGCCTATATAGAGTATAGAAAGAGTATTTGTATGGCCTACATGTAATTGTTGCGGGTCTGTATGTTTGTCCTTGTGAAATTTAGATATGTAGTTTACATTCCTTCACGATACAGTAGAAAATCGTGTTATCGTGGCTAACATATTTAAAAAAAAACATGTTTTATGCTCTTAATGAAAATAATTACTAAAATATTTATAACCTACATAGCCATGGTAGCTTAGTACATAAGCATTCGTCATAATTAAATTGTAAATATGAAGAGAAAGTTCTGAATAATAAATTTAAGCACATTTTAACGATATATTAATTTAAAAATCTCGAACATTCTCTCGTTTTTATCTTTTAAATTAAAAATGCACGAGTTTTATAAACACACATTCGAAAGCGTCGATCGGTTGGCAAAAACTTTGTTGCCCATAAATCACATTCAATTTGGGATAATTTCAAATAAATGCAGAAGCCTTATTTACTCTTATTTTCTAAACTGCAATAACTGTATATCATTATTTATTTATTTGAACTTAACTTAAAAATTTGGCTACTCTTTGAAAAATAACGCTGTATATTACTTTCTTCATTAAAGTCTACAAAAAGTTTACACAAGGCGGATTTAATTTCTTAAGTCATTTTTCAACTCATACCAGCAAAGGAAGATAGACGGAGCGCTGCGTTCAATTGACACCGAAAACATGCTATTAAAACAATGCACCACACATATGCACTTAAAACCATGTTGTTGAGTGCAAATGATTTAAGAGCTATACGTGTGCGTGAGTAAACATTCTTACAATAAGTGGAGCATGGTTTTGGGTTAGTTCCTGAATGATTTTAAATGAACGCAACACTCCGCTTATTTTCAAATAATCGAACATTATGCAACCTATAAAATACAAGAGTATTGCTTACTTGTGAAAAGCAACAGAATATGTAACTAAAATACTCATAATAGACACGTTAAGCTAACATTATAAATATATTATATTTTTATATATTATATTTTATATTCCATTTTTTTATTTGTTAAATGTTATGGCCACGTTATTCATTATCAACAAAAGTTGATCATTACATTATATGACAATCAAAGGAGAGTATATTTGGCTTCGTATTATACTTCACGTAGATTTATTTTTAAATATAATGACTTTGACTATGCCTGATTTTTTAAATAATAGAATACGCGCAACGTTATCAAAATTACTATTATTCCTGATAACTTCAATCAAGATGCGAATTTGCGGGGTTTCCTCTGTCGCATACCAAATTCTATGTTTCAGCGATGGTAGTGCCACGGTGGAGAAGAGTATCGTAGAAGGGGTCTGTTAGCTAATATGAGAAAATACAATACATTATTGAAAACTTATTTCATTAATAGATAAAAAAATTAACATAGTATTTTTTTCATTTTTATTAACTAACATCACTAAGATGTTTCTAAATCAGAAATGTAATAACCAAAATATATATGAAAGAATAATTTTCTTTTATTTAAAAAAATACTAGTAATGTTATTAAACATTACTAATATTCCCTTTAACCACTCCTGGTAAGCTTAAAATGCTTGTGTTAGAAGTGGTTCACGACAGTAGTCGAATGGCGGATTCGAACCCACGACCTTTCGAGTTCGCGGTCCGCGCCCTGCCATTAGGCTACTGACGCTTTTTAAGTATAACGCGTAGACATAATTAATTTTTTTTTGACTGAAATTGTAAACGACTTCTTAATTATCGGTCTGCAAGCGTTAATTCCATCTACTGGCAAGGCCTCACCTAGAAAATTTGCCTTAAGGCTCTAATAGGCCTGATTGACCTGAAACCGCGTCCGCATAGATTTTAGCCGACGTCAACTCCGTCTAGCGGCTACGTTCTGTATTACTTAGAAAAGTGCAAAGAACATAAGAATTCAGAGGTGATAATTATATAAGTTATATACTGCCTATTATGCTTGCGCATCACTGATAGCCATGTCGCGGGCGCGGTGTTAAGCATTTTGAATTACATTGCACGGTGTGCTGCTGTAGCTTCGTCCGATAGCATCACGGGCTATCAATTGATTAAATTTTAAGTACGTAAGAGTTTTATTATATATGTTGAATCGTATTTATTTGTGTTGCATTAGTAGCTCTGAGACTAAGCGCTCGCTGTAAATTTCGCCCGGGTTCGATCCCCGGCGGCAAAAATAAAATTGTTAATTGCAATTTTAAGTGCTGATTCAAAACATGCTCAGCGGCGAAAAAAAACATCGTGAGAAAACCCGCATGTCTGAGGAATAAGAGAAAAAAATTCGAAGATATGTGAATTTCGCCAACCCGGATTGGGGCAGCGCAGCGGACATTTCTTTGCCCTAAAACCCTCTCAGAAATAAGAAGAAACCTGTGCCTAATAGTGGCACGTATTTTTTTTATAGGAGAGGGGGCAAACGAGCATGAAGCTCACCTGATTGTAAGTACCTACTGCCGCCCATGAACAACTACAAATCCAGGGGAACCAGGAGAATCGCCGATGCGTTGCCGGCCTTTTAAAAAGGAGTACGCTCTTTTATTAAAGGTCTATGTGTCGTATCGGTCCGGAAAAATCGCTGGTGGTAATCGTTTCCACACGGAAGTTGTGGAAGGAAGAAAACTTCTTCTAAATTGCACAGTGATAGATCGCCAATCATCCATATAGCGTGTATGGTATCGCGAGATTTGTCGCGATGTACGATGGTGAAATTGAGCAGCTGAAATCAGTCCGAACAATTCCTCAGAGCACTCCCCGTGATAGATGCGATAAAATATGCAAAGAGATGTAACATCTCTACGCTGTACAAGGGAGTCAAGCCGATTGGAAAGAACTCGGTCGTCAACGATTCGAACCGCTCTGCGCTGGATACAGTCAAATGAAAGGAGCTGGTACTGGAGAACCCTAGCCCAGAGATCGGAACAGTATTACAAGTGAGGCTGAACTTGCGCCTTGTAAAGTTGCAGGTGTTATCATGATCATCATCATTACAGCCCTTCACAAGTCCACTGCTGAACATAGGCCTCCCCCAAGGAATGCCACAAAGCACGGTCCTGAGCCACTTGCATCCATAAACTTCCTGCATATCTTACCAGGTCGTCACTCCATATAGTAGGGGGACGCCCAACACTTCGCCTGCCGGTACGAGGCTGCCACTCAAGAACCTTCCCCATCAGTTGTCGGTCCTTCGACAACCGATGGGAAAGATATATATATGGCCGGCCCATTGCCAGTTCAGCTTACTAATCCGTTGGGCTATGTCGGTCACTCTGGTTCTACTGCGGATATCCTCATTTCTGAGTTAATCACGCAGAGAAACTCCGAGCATAGCCCTCTCCATAGCTCGCTGAGCGACAATGAACTTCCTCATCCGGCCAGCAGTGAAGGACCACGTCTCAGTTCCGTATGTCAACGCACTGGTTGTACAGTCTCGTTTTCAAGTTATGAGGTATACCTGACGAGAAGATGTGCCGTAATTTCCCGAACGCTGCCCAACTGAGTTGAATCCGTCGATTGACCTCTCGGTCGAAGTTGGACTTACCTTTATTTTTTTATCGGGGGAAATCCTCATGGACTACCTCCGCCTGGGGAAAGGCGGAGGGGCGTGCCGGACTCTTACCGGCTAAAACCACCCCGGTATCTCCTCGCACGTGCGCGTGGGGCCGCGGGAATCCAAATTCTTCCGCAGCCCCACATTAGTGCTGCCCCGGTCTGTCCAGGCCTCGTCTCCTGCACGGGGTAGTGAGGTGTTAAACTACCCCATGTATTGCTTCAGGGGCGCGCGCCGACACCCGCGCGCGCCTCCGCCTCGGGTCCATCGAGTAGGGGTGGCGGGGGCTTCCCCAAGTGCCTCGCCCCTGGACCCATTTATGGGGGCCGGAAAAGGGCGTTGTCCGCCCTTCTCCTGCGCCCGGTGCGCCTTCTGTGGCCAGGGAAGGGAGTCGAGATCTCCCTTTCCCGTTCCGCAGTTTCCTTCTGTGACATCACATCCTCGCAGAAGGACACCACCGCATCCCACGACTCTGCGCTACCGACTATCTTCCACACTAAGGCCGGCAGCGACAGATCGCCTCCTACTTTATTTGTGAGGACACGGCGCTGCTCCTCCCAAGCAACACACTCGGCGAGCGTGTGTTGCGCCGTGTCCTCCCCGCAATGGACGCGGTCGAAGTTGGACTTACCTAGTCGGACTATTTGTTCCAGGTAAACATACTCGTCAACAACTTCGAGTTTAGTGCTCTCAACAACTATCGGCATAGGTGTGACATGGACATTAAAAATTATCTTTGTTTTGTCCATGTTCATCTTAAGACCAATCCGTTGGGAAGCACTATTGAGGTCATTGAGCATAGTGCTTAGGTCCTCCAGCGATTCTGCCATAAGGATTATATCGTCGGCAAATAGAAGGTGAGTAATGTACTCGCCATTGATGTTGATACCGTATTCTTTCCAGTCCAGAAGCTTGAAAACGTCTTCTAATGCAGCGGTGAAGAGTTTCGGGGATATGACGTCACCCTGTCTTACACCTCTCTGCAATTGTATAGGTTTCGTACTCTGGTTCTGTACTCAGATAGCCATCGTAGCCCTACTGTACAAGTACTTCAGCACTTCTATATACCGACAGTCCACTTGGCACTGCTGAAGGGACTGCAGCACCGCCAAAATTTCGACGGAATCAATGGCTTTCTCATAGTCCACATACGCCAGACATAGTGGCAAATTATACTCCTCTGACTTTTGTACAATTTGCCGAAGGTTATGTATATGGTCTATGGTGCTGAAGCCCTTTCGGAAACCGGCTTGTTCGGGAGGCTGGAATTCGTCAATT